AAATTCATCCTGTAAATTTAAAATTTGAAAAATTAATTGAATTTGTTCAATTAATGACTGAATAGTGAAATCTCTTAACATCTCTTACACCTCTTCATTAATTATAAAAGCAGAATTTCACCCACCTCTTTCACCTCACTGTCAAATCAATTTAACCCCTTTTTAGTAAAAACCCTTCTAAGCTTAAAACCTTCTCTAGAAAACCATGGTTATCATTGCTGAAATTGTCTCATCAGAAAACTCTCAAAGATCCGAAAACACCATTCAAGAGGAAACATCTCCATTAGCCATGGTGAACTACAAACCTTCTTCAACTTCAACTAAAACCCCTGAAAATCCTATAACCTCATCATCTAAACCTAAAGAAGTGGAAAGTAAGAATGAACAAGAAGAGTCATCCGTTTCAAGTGTCCTTCAAAGATTGAAAGAGTGGAAAGAGAATAAACAAAAAGAGAAGTCACTTGAGGAGCAAATAAAAGAGGTTGACAAGTTTGCTCAAGGGAAACAATCAGAAGAAACTAAAGAGGATGACGAATAAGGTGGAGAGATGAATGAGGGAGAGGAAGACAAAGAAGATCACAACAATTCAGAAAAAGAAGAATCGGAAAAGGAAGATGAAGAAGAGGATGTAACTGATCAAGCTGAACTTGAATCACAAGCAGGGAGGCATGTTGTAAGTCATCGTATTGATCTAGATTGGTGTAGGAAAGCTAGGTTCTTAGAGTTTCTTGATTTGATTAAGTTCCAAGGCTGGGAATACTTGTTATCAAAAGTTTCCGCAAACTATTTGTATCCAATTTCTATGACTGAGTTCTGTCAAAATTTTCAAGAAAAATTGGGGTTAATTTCTAGTGAAGTCGATGGTGTAAAAATTGAATTAAATGTTGAAACCCTAGGTAAAATTCTGAAAACTCCAACGGAGGGGTATGAAACTTACATTAAGGGTGAAGCTAGTGTTAAAGTAGGAAATTACTTGACTGGTGACATTGTTGAAGCCCTTGGTGGTCAAAGGGGTAAGAAGAAAATGAGTCACAATGATTTGAGCCCGTTGAACAAGTTGTTGTTCAATTTAGTTAAGAAAACCATCTTTCCCAGAACTACAAAGAAGGGGAAAGCATGCTTGATGGATATGGCTGTAATTTTCTGATTGTCTAAGAAAATTAAAGTAAATTTTCCTACATTGATGTATCAGCACATAGCACATTGTGTTCCAAGTAGGACAAAAGTGGGCTATGTAGCTATTTTGTCAAATGTGTTTGAAAGTGCTGGAGTAATTCTGAAGGGTAGGTATGGTGCTCTAGATGAGAAGCTAGAGAATGTACTAAATGAGGAAACACTGGCTGGACTGAGTTTGGAGGTAGTAAAAGGAAAAATTCAAAGAATGGAGAAGGGAGATAAAAGGAAAGAAAAAGTGACAAGGAAAAGGAAAGAGAAAGAGGTGTCTAAGCAGCCTGTAAGGAAAAGCAGGAGGATATCTGCTAGTTCTGTTCCTCAGACAAGCATGGAACAACCTCTGGAGCTGGATGTTGAGGAAGGTATCCTCGATGGGCAAGTTGCAGAACTGGTGGATAGGATGGAAAGGGTTGAGAAACAAATGAAGGATTCTGCTGGAAAACTTCAGATGTTAACCCTGGAAAAGCTTGTACAGGAGCAGGGAAAGGAATTATAAGAGCTCAAGAAGCTAATGCAGAAAAAGGACAAGGAATTTCAAGAGCAAAAGAAGTTTCTGCAAGAACAGGACAAGGCTCTAAAGGAACAAAAGGAGGAGTTCCAACAGAAACTCAAGAGTCTTAAAGACAACCTAGAGGCTTCTGCACAACAAACAAAGGAGGACTACAAGAAAATTTTTGAGTTTCTTGAGACCTATCTTATCATGTTCCCAATCTACCCCTTTCTAGTCTATATCCAGCCTAGCCTATTTCCTGTTTCTCTATTTTAGTCATGAACAATTTCAGTTTCTGTTTTAGTTTTTGAACAATTACTTTTGGTTGTAATATTTTAAAAATTGTTCAGCTGGATATTAAATCTTTTGGTTTTTAATGAATAGTTGGAACTTGGCCTATACTTGTGTGTATATGTATGTTATGAACACTAATGCAGGAACGTGAAACTTGCTTAAGGAAAGTTAACAGCGCTGCCTTCAGTTTCCTACACTCGATGAATTGCTTGTGGGGCTGGGCTAGAGGCTTAATAAACTTGAAAAAGCAAGAATTTTTTATGATGCTAAAATGGGGAAAAGAAGAAGCAAACTTGGGCTGAAGTTGTTCTAGGGTTCCATTTGATAAAGTATCAGAAATCTCTTATGATATGATGCCAAGTAGCTTAGTTTATCTCTTGTTTTATTTCTTAGTGTTATTTATGTTTTGTTTTGTTTATTTACGATTTTCTTGTTTTTGTATGTTTAATTTCAATTGTGTGTTTACTTTTTGTCAATAAATCAAAAATAAAAAAATACGCCCTTCTATTTGTTTTAACTTTTCTCAAGAGTTTGCTTAAGTTTGTCATCATCAAAAGGGGAAAATTGTCGAAGCTTAAAGGTTTTGATGATGACAAACTTAAACTAAAGCAAACTCTACTAATAAAGGTTTTTAAGTGTTTGATTAGTTTAGGTGAAATTGATCTTGGTGATGGAAGAAGTAACTTGAGCTAAGAAGACTAAAGGAGCCTTTAAACAAAAAGTTAAATCAAGTAGAAGAAGAGTTCTCTAACAATAACTAAGTTCCCTAACAGGAACGTTCCCTAACAGGAACGTTCCCCAACAGGAACTTGAAGACAACAAGCTGAGGTGTTAGCCTGAACTGCGAGTGAAGACAGTAAGATCCTTTAGGAATTTAGCCTGCGTGACGCCCAAGTAATCTACCTTACAGAATATGGCGCAGCAATATTATTTAGTTAAGATTTTATCTTCTAGATTTATTGTTAAATATGTTAAGTAGGTTATGCTGAGATCTATTAGAAGCTTGACAAGTTTGCTTGGTAAATAAAGATAAAATTGGAAAAGATAAAAAGATAGATTTTATGAAAAGATTTTATTTAAAATTGGTTTCTTAAAATCGTTTTTAAAAAGATTTTATTCTATATCTTTCTATCTTATTTTCCGGAAAAGATTTTCTTCAAATATGATTTACTTAAAACCGTGTTTTGAAGATAAGTTAAGTTAAAATATTTATCTTTTAGAAAACCTACTTACTGTACAAGTCATACTTTTATAAATAGTAGAGATTGAAATGATTTAAGGTTTTTGTGAGTTTATTCGTGAAGAAATTACAGAGCATTAATTGAGTAAGTTTACCAAGCTTCTAACCTTGTCATATTAGCTTCGGATTTTGTGCATAGCTTGCCTATCATATACTAGGTGTCGTATACTTGTATTTGTTTGGGTTATTTGGGTGAGTTTGTTATTTTTACATCGCATATAGATTGTGTAAGCATCAAGTGTGAAGCTGAGAGTTTTGTACTTTGGTAGTACGAGTGAATCTAAGTGTGGGACTTAGATTCGGTAGGATAGGGTCCTATCGAGTAGCAATTTCTGTCTAGAACTTGTGAATAAAGGTTTGTGCATAATAGGTTGTAACTTGGTGTTTGCCCTATTATAGTGAAGTGGTTTGTGTTTAAAATGCCTAAGGTAGGGTCGAGGTTTTACTTCCAGTTGGGCCCTGGAAGGTTTCCTCGTAAAATCTTTGTGTCTTTGCAAGTTCCTATATGCATTGTTTTATTATTCCGCAAAAGTAGTCAATAGGAACTCAATACAATTCTCCCCCTCTTGTATTAATCGTCTCAACTAACATTGGTAAGTATTCCCGCTTGTCACACGGGTGACCCGGGTTCAATCCCTGACAAGAGCGATTTTTTTTAATCTAATACAGTATCAAATCACACTTCTCAAAATTTAATTCATGCGAGATTAGCAATTTAGGTAGCATTAAACTAACAGCAATATCACAAAACCATACATCAAATTACATGTCGATTCTTAATTAGCTAGATCTAGACGAATAGACTCATTATGGAGCTAAGCATATACTAGGTTATTTGACTTTTTGTAGATAACAATTTGATACATATATAAAGACGAGTGATCGCATCCATGATTTGTCATGTGAATTATTTAAATTACAATTGATAGGAAAGTTGGAATCATGTCGCATTTTTGGTAGAGCATAACCCCAAAATATAATATTTGGACTCACCATTATTATTAAAGAGTGCTTCCCATGTTTCCCTTGGATTTATCAGCTAATATTTTCTTAGTTGAGATCACATTGTCAATTTGGTAGGTGACAATTGAAGATCATAAATTCCAAATCAAATTGAACAAAACAAAAACATAAGCTGAAAAATTAATAGTGGCGATAATTAGATTGTTTGGAATGAGACAATCTGAGTCAAGTGTTAAGGTAAAACTTGTTACGGTTGTCTCAGGGTTTGAATCGAGTTGGGTTATTCCGGTTCTTTGCTAATATGCTTATTTGAATAAAATAATAATTAATATAAACATGATTATCAAGTCGAGTTGGTTCGGATTAAATCGAGTCAATTGATTTTAGGTTCTGAGTTTGGTATTGTGAGTCGGATAATCCGATACGAAGTATGACTAATTAAGGAGATAGTTTTGCCGGGTCTACAATTTAGAGTAATTTCAAACTTATAAGTAAAACCCAAAAAAAAAAAGAAAAATGTCAAGATTCTTACCATGATTGTAATATGATATAAAAAATTTCAAAATTAAAAAATACTTTTTTTTTAAACCAAAAAATTAAAAATGTACATAATTTATGATTGAATTATATAATGACGGAGTCAAATGAAATAATATGTTAGTATTTTTGGAGAATACGTTTTCCATGATTATTTGATTCTACATAGTAGTAGAAAAGATGACTCCCCATTAACATATTTCGTGCTTAAATGGTACATACAAGTGCTGGATTTACGTTTGTTTTGTTGTCATAGACCAAAACTACATAGAAGATTATAGTGAATAACATAGATAATCTAAGATGAATGACTTATTTTCAAACTCGTTTAAGAGGTACGCAAATCTGAAGGATCAAGCACAGCGCGATGATTTGGAGATGGGGAATCAGACATCAGCCAACCTCGACAAGTTCTTTGAGGATGTGGATGGTGTCAAGGGGGACATGGGAAATGTAGACAAGCTCTACAAGAGGCTACAAGAGGCAAATGAGGAGTGCAAGATCGCGACTAATGCAAAGGCGGTCAAGGACTTAAGGGCTCGAATGGATGCTGATGTAGAGCAAGTTTTGAAGAGAGTCAAGATCATCAAGGGAAAGTTGGAAGCTCTTGAGAGGTCTAATGTAGCCCACAGGAACCTGCCAGGGTGTGGGCCGGGTTCCTCAGCTGACCGGACACGCACCTCTGTGGTTAACGGCTTAGGGAAGAAGCTCAAGGATATGATGGACAACTTCCAAACACTGAGAGCAAAAATGTCAGCTGAGTATAAAGAGACAGTAGAAAGGCGGTACTTTACAATAATAGGGGAAAAGGCAGAGGAACAGACTATAGAGCAGTTGATCGATAGTGGAGAGAGTGAGTCTTTCCTTCAAAAGGCTATTCAGGAACAGGGAAGAGGACAGATAATGGACACAGTGAAGGAAATACAAGAGAGGCATGACGCGATCAAAGAGATAGAGAAGAATCTGCTCGAGTTGCATCAGGTTTTCTTGGACATGGCTGCTCTAGTAGAAGCTCAAGGCCAGCAGCTTAATGATATTGCTAGCAATGTGAATCGCGCTAGCTCGTTTGTAAGCCATGGGGCAACTGAGCTGGTTGTTGCTAAGGAACATCAAAAGAATAGTCGGAAATGGACTTGCATTGCTATTATTCTTGGGATTATTCTTGTTATAGTTATCTTGTTTCCAATCTTGTATACTACTCTTCTTGTTCCTCGTTTTAGTTAGTTATATTTGTGTTTAACCACTCGGGGTAGGAAATCCTCTACACAATTCCTTCATTATATTATTATTATTATTATTATTATTATTATTATTATTATTATTATTATTATTATTATTATTATTATTATTATTATTATTATTATTATTATTATTATTATTATTATTATTATTATTATACCAAATGATTTATGTGTATTATCTGTTGATTCTAGCTAGATAAGTTTGATGTAATTCTTTTGCATTGCAATTTCATGATGAATTTTGCAATGTCCATGAAATCTACTTTATGCAAGGTCATCAGTTAGGTTGGAAAGTAGACTTAAGCACCTTTCTAACTATATATTATATTCAGTGGCGGACCCAGGAATTTACGACTGGTTAGTCACAATCGATAACCAAATATGTAAAAAAAATTTTTTACCAAAATTCCTAAGAAAAATTATTTACAAAGATCATCCAAATAGAAAATTGACAAGATTACAATGCTAACTTATAATTAACAAGCTTAAAATTGACCTAAAATAATAATCACAATAATTAACAAACTAATTTATTTATTTAATTTTTTTTTAAGTAACTTAATAATTTATTTGGGCCCTGGTGAGTCATTTGACCCACCAGGCACAAAGGCAGGTTCGCCGCTGATTATATTATACGCAATAAGCTTTTTGTTGGGTTTGTGATCTGACTTAAAAAAAAAAAAAAAAAAAAAAGTAAAAACTATAGTTGTTTCACAATGGTTAAAAATTCATTTAGAAGGAGTGGCTAATGATCGAATCAATTCTTAATCAAGTAAAATTTTTACCATCGGAGAGTAAATCTTGCACTATAGAAGATCTCCTGCTTTTATAACCAGAAAATATAGCCTTGTTGGAGAGATAATTTAATGATCCTTTGTAGCCGTGAGGATGTTTTGATTCTAATTCATCTATCAGTATTCAAAAAGTTGATACCTTTTTCATTAACGAAATAATTTCACGACAATCATATCCATTAGATCTAATATTATGGATTCAAAACGAAGAAATTTCTCCCCCAAAAAGAGGAAATAAACCTTGTCTTTCAAAAGAGGTCGAAAAACCCTTGTCTTTTAAAGGAGATCGGAAACCCTTTCTTTCGAGGGAGAAAAGTTCCTCCCAATTTCCCAAAAGGAGGAAGCATTATTATAACAGTCCGTCTTGTGTGTGGCTATCCACACCGTGTGACCACTAATAAAAAAAAAAGTAATCCCTATAAGACTGAACAAGTAATTCCTGTGATACTAATTGAGTAACCCTATTAACACTGACTAAGTAACCCCTATTACACTGACGAAGTAACCCCTATAATAGTTGGCCACACTGTGTGGCCAGCTACATATAAGACTTTGTGTTATTATAAATAGGGCTCTGTACCAGTCCAAAACCGGACCGGATCGGAACCCGGAATTGACTTTTTTTAGGGACCAGGACCAGACCGTAATCAACCGGTCCGGGTTTCAGTCCGGACTTGCTTATTCTAATCCGGTCCGGTTTTGGACCGGTTATATACTTTTTTTTTTTGCATTTTAATATCTTAATATATACATACATTTTTAACGTCTTGTATTTGTTTGAGTTCTTTCCTATTTTGCACCATTAAATTTAAAATTTTCACCCAAATATTACAAAAATACACTATTGGTCCATTCCGGTCCGGACTGGAATATTTCGGTTTTTACCCTGACCGAAAACCCTAAATGACCAATTTGTGAGGACCGAAGACCGACCCGAAACCCCCTAGTCCGGTCCCGGTCGGTTTTTTGATCCAAGACCATTTTTGTACACCCCTAATTATAAACCTAAAAAAAGTTAGAAACAAGGATTGTGGGGCTTTCCATCGGTTATAACCAATGGAAGCCCCTTCAAATTTCAACATTGAAGGCTAGGCTTTTGGAGAGAGGAAGGAGGAGAAGAGGGGATGTGCCGATGTGGAAATGTTAATTCTTACTAATCTTGAAAAGTTGAAGTAGGAAAAGTTCTTATCCTTAGAAGGAAAAGAAAACCTACTTAAAATCTATGTAAAATAGGACAAGTCATATGCAAAAAATGTGCCTAAAAGCTCTACATAGAGGAAGGGATCACTAAAGACCTAATATATGATATTTATTTGGACAGTAAAGATATATAGTGAAGGTGACCTACAAAAACTGATGATCTTGTAAAAAAAAATGATGATGGATGAAATGATGGAAGATTAAACTCGACAAATAGCAAATTAGGCATCTTTTACTATTGTACTAATGTATTAAATTTTTATTATTGTTTTCTTTGTGAAAGTATCTTTGTAAAAACAAATGGCTGAAATGGCTGATATTTAATTTTGATAGAATGACAAGTAATATGGTAATAGCTTAGGGATAAGCCAAATAGTAGAAGACGACTTATGGAATACTGAGTGTTTGGGTATTTATTGGTCCCTTGAGAGAGTTACGTCAACAAAGTTGGTCCGGCGCGATCTGTATCAGCAAAACACGGAGATTTTGGCCGTTGGTAGGAGCTCCGCCTCCGCTGATCAAGTTATTATTGGTCATAGAAGATGAAAAGGTGTGGAAAAGGTAAAGGTGACATCCTCTCGGATTCCGAGATCAGGTGTTTTCTTTAATGTGAGAGAATGTAGGGTGGTTGTAATAAATGAAACGTGTTCCGAAAATGGGGGAAATCTCCCTATTTATAGGGTCGTTCAAAACTATGTCTTGCATTAGGTTAGGGGCTGCACCGTTTTGCGCTGCTCTTAGGAATTAGGCCCTGAAGGCCGCCATTATATTTGTCATATGAGGCTGACACGTGTCAGCTAGTGAGTGGCCCATGTTGGACCTTGCCAGGGTTAACGCGTGTCCCTCTCTAATTGGGCCACATGTGTAGGGTATTTTTACCCTAAACATTTGCCCCTCACAAGGGTGACTTGGCAGGCCATGTGGCACCTATGATAGATGTCTGATACTGATTAGATAACGGTTATTAGCATTTCACATAGTGGGAAATTACGGGAGTGCCCCCGTTTTAACCTTCTATAAATAGTAAGTTACCCTCCTTCTCTCTCATCTGATTTCTTAAAAAATCTAGAGAGAGAAAAAGAGTATTTTGTAGAGAGAGACACTTTGACCCTGCCTGTAGCAGATTTCCAGAAAACTTTTGGTTTGCAGTTTTGTGGACACAACCGGTCATCGCTTGAGAAGTTTTTCCAAAATTCTACAAAGGTAACAATTTCTCCCCTTCTTAGCTCTTTCAAGCTTTTGCTGTTTGTATATAGTTTTTCAAAATAAAATGGATTCACCATCAACACACACGGCACAACCTAGGACATTAGTCGGCCGTCTCTTATTACAACTGAGACTAAGATTGGGGATGCCGTCTCTTGGTACATGAACCTACTTTGCCCATCCCCAAATCCCACCATCTCTGTGTCTATGCAAAACACAATGACAAGAGTTAAACAGAAAACTAAACAGCCAAGAAGGAGAAGGCGCACTTTGGAAGTTACCCAAGACAGGGAGTATGGGGAATCAGATGAGTAATCAGGTTCGTCGCTTGGGGGTATCCTAACCACTCCTAGTGATGGGATCTTAACGGAGTTAGACGGTGAAGGGTTTGTCTCCGCCACAATGCATAGTGATCCCAATCAAGGGTACGGTGACAAGGCATCTCAAAGATCAATGGCTAAAGTTTTCGGGTCGGATCAGGCGGAGGCCGGCTACAAAGTTGAACGGCCGGCTAAGTCGCCATCTATGTCTAACCCTACCGAAACTCATATGATCGTCAGGGATTTAGTTTCCCTAGAAACTTGTTTTAAGGCATTTCAAGATAAATATCCGATTGGGTCGAATTGGGAGATAAGAGTCCTGCCTGTGGAGGCAACAATGGTTTTGGAGGATAACCTTGCGCACGCCGATAACTATTTTGGCTGCTACGAGTCGGCAATTCAAGCTCTTCACAAGGATTAAGAAAGATCTTGAAGGGGTATAAGCTAGGCGTTTGGCAGCTTGCCCCTAACTCATGGATAAATATTCTAAGTTACATCGCCGCCTGCGAGTTCTAGGATATTAAGCCAAGCTTTGAGGCCTTTGCTCATATGCATTACATGAGCCGGGCTCCAGACCACGGGGGAGCGTGGTACACTATAACCACCCATCCAGAGTACATGATGACTTTGAATAAGCCGTCTAAGTGGTCGAATTGGAAAGATAAGTTTTATCTAATTTCTTCCTCCACTTTGTCAATGAACCGGGTCTTACGCCGGTATAACAAGGATCCGACATTGCTTGGAAATAAGTGCGTCCTCCCCCACATTCCCTCTAAGGCTTGGGAACAAATAATTGAGCTCGAGTTCTTCAAGACCTCCACTGCTCCTTTGGACGATAGGACCCAAATAATAGTGCCAAAGAACTAGGTGCCCTATCTGGACATCCTGAAAGACGAGGCGTTTCTTTTCGCCTGTGGCTTGAGCACAATGTTTCTAAAACGTATTCAGTCACGTTTTTCAAACGTCTCAATACTTGCATTTTTTTTTATTTACCATCCAGTTTTCTTCTGTAGAGGACGCACTAAAATGGTGAATCCGGATAAGACACCGGCTAAGTCAGCTACTCTTCTCAGAAAGGAGCAGCTTGAAAAGAGGGAAAAGGCCTTGGATGCCAAGGTTGATGGGGTATGCCCGCCTACCATTTGGAGGCTAGTTTGCCTTTTTCTTCTTATGTTGTGCTGGTTGTAACCCTTTTGCCTCATCTGCATAGTGGGAGAAAGACTATCCTCCGCTCTATTTAAAAAAATGATCAAACGGCCACCAGCACCGGTAGGGAAAAAGAATCCTTCCCAATATCGGTTTTTATGCTTGACCAGCCGAGGCCTACAACTGGAGGGAAATGCCCGGCCAATCTGAAGGCTTTAAGAAAAAGCTAAGAGAAGGAAAGCAAAATGCTTGACGCATGTATGACGTCGAAGGGTGGCATGCTGCCCAATGCTACAGACGGCACTACAGCGGTTAAAGAGGGTGGGACAGCGCAACCCAAAGATCA